CCAGGGACCCAAGTCTGCAGCTCCCTGCCCCCAGCACAAGGCAGCAGCTGCTGCAGCAGGAGCATGGAACTGGCTCCCCCACTGCTGCCTACCTACTGTAGGCTCGGGCAGGGGTGGGGCTGGCCCCTGACAGCAGTGCACACTCCCAGGTGGCAGGGGGGACTTGTTCCCACAAATCTGTGGAGGGGGGTGGGGGCAGGGTGGATGTATGCTGTGTGCAGCTTCCCTGAAAGGTCCATGCACCTTGGGGGAGGCAGGCACTCCTGCAGTAAGCTGGCCAAGGCCTGAGGGAATGGGGAGGTGTTGGGGAAAACCCAACATGGAGTGCCTGTCCAGCCAGTAATCCATGGATTCAGAGCGGTGCTGTATTGGCTCTTCAGGGAAGTGGCATATGGAGGCACAGAGCCTGCTTGGCTTGATACCATGCCGCTCTGTGTCCATGTACTGCCAGCTGGGAAGGCACTCCATCTGCAGCTTTCCCCAACACCTCCCCACTCCTCATCCTGCAGGAATGCCCGCCCAGCCAACTGCGCGTGGACTGGGAGCAGCATGCTATCGCCAGGCTGGGCTTGTCTGGGGGCAAGGGGCGGGGCCTGCTCCCAGCAGCAATGTACACTCGTGGGAGGTAGGGGGACCTGTAGCCCCCAGATCTCTGCAGGGGCAGGGTGATTGCATGCTGGGAGCTCATGCTCCCCCCCCGGCCAATGCAGTTCAGCGGGTGTGACATGGCGTGAGGGGCACAACCCTGTGCTGTTGCCCCCATGCAAACAGGGCAAGTGTGGCCAGGGCAGCACGAAGCTGTGAGCGGCAGGCGGCTTTCTTGCGTGTCCCTACTGTGCACTGCCATGCCAGATAGCACATGCTACGCTGTGGAGGCCCTGAAGGAGTTCAGCAGGGCGGGGAGCATGAGCCTGCAGCTTGTACCTGCCCTACCCCCGTCCCCCACACAGAACTGGAGGCCACGGGTCCCCATGCCCCCGGGAGTGCGTGCTGCAGCTGGGAGCCAGCCCCGCCCCCCAGACAAGTCCAGCCTGGCAATAGTGCACTGCTCCCAGTCCATGCAGTCCCACGGGAAGCTGGCTGGGACCTGAGGGAGTAGGGAGGTGTTGGAGAAAGCTGCATGTGGAGTGCCTGGCGGCACATGGACCCAGAGTGGCACAGTATCGGCCAGAGCAGGCTCCATGCCTCCATGTGGGCTTCCCTGAAGGGCCAATATTGCACTGCTCTGGGTCCATGCACCACCACTCAGGCAGGCACTCCATGTGGGGTTCCCCCAGCACTTCCCCATTTCCTCAGCCACCAGCCACACACCAACACCCTGCCCCCCACCTGCCCTACTGGCACTTCCCCCAGCCCTGCCAGAGGGGTCCCCCAGCCCCCTGGAAGCCCCACTTATCTCACAGGCTCCAGAAAGAACAGTGAGCCTGAGCCAAGCCTTGGGTGACTGAGAGCCTCAGCCCCTGCCCTCCTCCCTCTCCCTCTCCCTCTGGGCAGGATTGGGGTTTCCCCCAACCTTTTTGCAATCAGCTCTTGCAGGCTGGAAGTCTGCCCTCCTGCAGAGCTCTTTGCAAAAGTGGGAAATCAGCAGGTATCTCTGCTAAAAGGGAAAATCTGTTTTGTTTTGTTTTTTTCTCTGATAAAATCGGGAAATCCATGGTTTTTTCTGTTTTTCTGTGGGAAATAGAAAATGTGGATCCCTGATGATCAGCATTAAGACTAGATCATTGCATTGAGGCTTTGTTGTAAGATTTGCTGTAAGGTGGTGTTTTGTTGGTTTTTCAACTTCCCAAATCATTTTTAAAGAAGAAAATCTTATGAATTTGACATAAACGTGGCTGCTTTGTAATCCTCAATTATGTAAAACACTTTCTTGTAGCTATGACCTACAGAAACGGATAAATGAAATGGAAACACAAAAGCAAAAAATTCACGAAGAGACTAAAGATGTTAATGAGAAGAGTAGTAAACTTGCTGATGAAATGAAAGATAAGACTAAAGCCTTAAAAGATATAGAAAAGTAAGTGTTACCATTATCTTAAGTTACAATAGCACAATCTGCATTTTTGTGAATATAAAGCTTTTAGTGCTGCTGAGTTGTTTTTGTTTTAACGTACATATTGCGTTTTGTTCTCCACCCTCAAATAACAACACAAGTCATAAACGCTCCTGCTCTGCTTTCATATGTCCAGTTACGTTTAATGGGAATTATATGGAAAAAATTAGTATGTAGCATTCTCTTACGGACTGGAAAAGCATTAAGTGCTCCTTCATAAGGCCAACTTTGTGGCATGCCTTTTTAGCCTCCATAATTTCCACAGTGAATTTCAATATTTCCATCCTTTGCAAGGAGGCAAGCTGCTGCTATTAGGCTGTGTTTTCCCCAAGAGTAGGCCTCTTTCCCCAGTTACCTCCATTATCCCAATACACAGCAAGTCACAATCTGGTTCCTACCCTGGTCCTGGAACAATGTAGTTATGTCTTCCTGTATAGCACAGAACTTCTGTAAATTAACAGTGTGAAAAAATGCATTTCTTTAGACAATTTTTTTTTTTATTGCTTTTTATGATTTTTGGCTTAAAAGGCATGGGTTTTTTCTTACTTATTCCAAAGATTTGTCAGGAATAGAGTCCTGTTGGTCCTGGCTACCAAACTCTGTGGAGCATTATTGGCCATTAGTTGTAGCATTGGGGTTCTTTTCTTTTTTCTATTTCACAGATCTTTTCTTCAGTTTTATGCAGACCTTTAAGATAAATTGTATTTTTTTCTGTTTGTCATTACACTTTATGCTTTTTAATGTTCTTGGATCCATGCATAAAATAACTAATATGGAGCTGTTTCCTTAATCTTAGACTAAATTCCATATTTCTACTATAATTTTATCACAACTGTAAAGTTATTTCCATGCATTTCTTCTGTCTTTCTACTAGAGTGTAACCTCATAAATCTAGATATCAAATATATGGAATTATCAAAAATCTGGCACTTTTTAAAACTGTACTAGATTGGTGAGTAGCGGCAGCTGGTCCTGGAGCAGCAGAGGGAGAAGCTTGCACGCAGCAACTGCTGCCACCGTCCACCACCCCACATTGCCACTCCGCATGCAGCTGCTGCTCTGGAACCAGCTGCCACTCTGGTTTCAAAAATCTGGAGTTTTCAAATTTGCGGCAGGTGGTTGATCCTGAGCAGGCTGGATTCATGAGGTTATACTGTAGTATATTTTAGGGAAACAGAGAATGAGAGGTAATATTAAAAGTTTGATTTATTTAATTTAGCCAAACTAAGGTTGAAAAGGGGATTTAATTACTATTTATAAATATATTTGTGGAGTGAATATTAGGGAGAAGTGTTTAAATTAAAGAACAACATCAATGCAAGATCAAATGGATGCACTAGTCACAAACAACTTTCTGGACTTGTAGTTGGAAGATTTCTAAGAAAGGTGTGATATTTTGAAATAGTCTTACTAAAAAGTATGGTAGTGGGGCAAGGAACCTGGATTGCTTCAAGATCAGCATGACAGGTTCACAAAAGGGTAAGCAACAGCTGCTGAAGCAGTAATCGCTGCACATGATACATAAGTATTGTATTATGATCATGATGGGATTGAAAGAAAACTCCACTATCTATGTAGAAAGTGTCTGGTAAACCCAAAATTTAGGGATTCTGCCGGTCACCTGTAGGGATAATTCCTCATGCACCCATTGCACATTTTAGCATTTCTCAGGGTTCACCTTCCTGTTTAGCATTAGGTACTAGTCACAGCTAGGGAAGCGTTTGTGTGGAATGCAGTCATGGTCTTACCAGTATATAGGAACCTGTCTGCCTGGTTGGAGGTTCTTGCTCATGCAATAAAGGTCAGACAAATTACCAATTTTGGGGTCATGAAGAAATTTTCCCTCCAGATTTTGTTTTCTTCTGCAGGAGAAACTTGTTCATCATCTTAGGTTCACAAGAACATTATATTAACAAATTCCCTAATGTTGCAGTGTCCAAAGCATTGGCAGTTAGGGCTGTGTGAAGCTTTGGTCACTGATTCGATTAGGCAGAGATTCAGCCCAATACAGTGGTCGAATCTCCAAATCCGAATCAAATCAGGAGACCCTGTAATCTCTCTTAATTGAATCGGAACCTTCCGAATCGATTCGGACCTAGACATAGCTTTAAATGTTTTTTCTACATACTGGGAGGCAGTAGGGCCAGGCCCCAGGGCTCAATACTGGCACATGGGGCTCAATTCAGTCTGCAGACTGGCCTTCCCCTGCTCATCAGCCCCATGGGGCCAAAAAGTTGAGCACCACTAGATTAGAGCATTAGGCTAAATGGCCATCAGTGAACCTGGTTTGCTATTCTTGTATTTCAGCAGAAAAAATAAATTAAAAGGTGAGGAGAAAAATCTGTTATGGACAGCTCTGCTGCTGAATTTGTTTAATGTGCAGAGAAAGAAACTGTTCCTGTTGCTTGATCATTGTGTTCCCACAGAGGATTAGTAAAAGCTGTCTGATTTTTATATATAAAAAAAAACAAACTGAATAGCAGCACTTTAAATTCAAGGCATTATAGCAGTACACTTTGTTTAAAACAAGTTTTCCTAAAAATGGTTATCTTAATAACAGAATTGACCAACTTACCTTCTTTTTTACTGTTTTAGAAAGCTCAATAAAATCACAAAGTTTATAGAGGAAAACAAAGAGAAATTCACTCAGTTGGATTTGCAAGATGTTCAAGTAAGGGAAAAATTAAAACATGCCAAAAGTAAAGCTAAAAAACTTCAGAGGCAACTTCAAAAAGATAAAGAAAAGGTATTTGTCACTTGAAACTTACTATATGTTTTAAATGTGTAATTTATTCCAAATAGGAGTTTCTGCCTTTTGAAGATCACTTGCAAAAGAACTTTAGCTGCTTTATAACACAAGGGTTGCTTGAAAGGGTATTTGATTATTTTAAATGCTAAAAAAGACGTCTGTGTGCTCTTGCTCATGTACCCACTGGTACTTCAATCCTTTGAGTGATAGAAACATTCTGCCACTACCTACAGTAAGATGTCCTCTGATAGGTCTTTTATCATCCAGAAGCAAAGTGATGGATACCTCATTACTGGGACAGAATTCATAAAGGTGGCCTACCAGGCCTACACATGCACGTCGGTTAGTGCTCAGGGCAGTCCACGAGATGTGCATTGTATGACCTGTTCTTAAGTTCAGTCCAGGTGTACTTGGCATCTATTTTGGCCCAACATATACCAATCAGATAACCTACCCCAACGCCTTCAATTTCTTCAACGGCCCACTTGTAAAGAATCTAATTCCCCTGTTTGAGCTATACCATGCCCAGGAAAAAGGCACCTCCTTAATTTAAGAGTTGCCCTGGCAATTTTTTGAAAAAAGGCATGGACCTTAGGCTATAGCACAGAAAATAAGGGAAGGACAATTTTCATCCCAGGGCTTTCCAAGTAGATTTCTGAGTGCATGAGTGATGAGATGCGCTTGCTTACAGTCATTAGAGCATTCTGACAAAGGTTAAACTACACTGGCAGCTCTGCTAAGAAATGTATCTATCTCGGTATAGGTAGACTAAACAATTATACTTGGCTTTTAAATTATCCCAGTTTACCAAGGGTCATGTTGAACAAAGTATTTTGTCTATACCATGGTAAGTGGAACTTAAACTGCTGTAACATTTAACCTATTTCCTTTGGTCATCCAAAAATATACTGATAGGAGTCACCAGAAATAGAATGTACATATGGAGTATTGCTCAAAGATTGTGAAATTACTTACATTTTTTTTACTAACTGGAGTTCTTTAAGATGTGTTGTTATGAGCATTCCACAGGCCACCCTCTGTCCCTTCTTCCTTTTAAAATCCAGCATTCCTGGGTTTACAACTGGAACTGGGACACAGTAGATGCCCTCAATTTTCATTTTGTTGAGAAGTCATTGAAGAGGTGCTGCCAGAAATCATCAGAAAATGCTCCTCATTCCAGTATTTTCCTATATTAAAGAAACAGCATTTTATTCTCTCCTAAATTTTAATGGAATTAAACAAGCATGGCATTTCAGTTCACTTTTCTCAATTATCCCATTCCTTCATATTCAAGACCAATTTGTGGCTTTTAGTTTTTAAGAGGTGTAATTCCATATAGCTATCCATCAAACCTACAGCAGGGCCCTCATTCACAGCATAGGCCAACAGTTACCAGTATACAGTTCTAATATTTAAACTGTCCAGGGGATGAAAAACTTTCACAAAATCTTCCTACCTTTAGTGGCAGTACACTTTAGGAGAGCAGCTATTCATTACTATTTTGTAACTAGAAAACTGACCAGAGGCAAATCTCAGGAGACAGCAGCAGCTCTATAATATACTATATAATATACTTTTTTTAGTCTCCCATCTAGAACTCTCTGTGAACTATCTATGATCGGTGATATATTAAAGTTAATATAAGTAAATCCAAGGATAACAATGTGTACTTGTTTTGGGTATATTAGGCCACATTGCAATGTAGACATAATGCCTTTTTGCCAGACTTCACTTACTGTCTACACCCTACATCTCTAATATGGTCCTGGAGTTGCACCTGCATCAGTTTAACATGTTGATCATCTTCCCACAATCATGTCCAATACTGGGAGAAAAGAAACCATGTGCTTTAAATGTTTCAGGAGCCTTTCTCTATTACTTTAACAATAATAGGCTTTAGACTTTCTCCTCACCTTTCTGTAGTCATATCTGGCATACTGAAAGGCCAAACCATCTCAACACAGAGAATCTAAGTGGATCGTTCCCATTATTTCCTCCTGCAATCAGGTTGTGAACCTCTCCATCAGTATATCAAGGGGCACACTGGATTCTGGCAGGTCATAGGCAGCATCTTCATCTTGCTTCAGAGCAAGGTAGAAGGCTATGGGGGGGATACGATACAGGTTTGTAGAATCACAAAGGGTATAAACAAAGTGAACAGTTCACTAAGTCGCAAAATACTAGAACTAGGAGGCAACCACTAAAATCAGGAGACAAGTTTAACATTAAAAAAGGAAAGTACATTTTTATGCAATGTGTAGTTAACTTCAGAAATGTATTGCCACAGGAGGTGGTAGAAGCAGATAGCATAGCTAGATTCAAAAAAGAGACTAGACAAGTTCATGGATGATAGATCTATTAATAGCTGTAGAATAGAATGGTTTAGAGATGTTTTTTCTGGCATTTCTAAACCAATAATGGTGCATGCCAGGGAGAGTAATGGATAGAGGATAGATCATTCCAGATCTATCCAGTTAAATGTTCTCCCTCTAGCATCTGCTTCTGCCACTGTTGGAGATGGATACTGGGCTAGATAAATCGTTAGCCTGACCCAATATAGCACTTCTTGGGTGTGTCTACACAAGATGCTTTACTGCACATTAGATTAATCTAATGAGTAGTAAATTGTCACTGTCAACATGTGTACATGATTTACTGCACAGCAAATTAGGCTAATGTGCTGTTGGCTAGTACCAGCAAATACAGGTACTAGCCTAACAGTGCATTAGCTGCTGCGCAGTAGTGCATGTGTAGATGTTGACCTGGTGCAATTTGCTCTGGTCAGCCCAGGCAGCAGGGGGGCTCGCTACTGCCTGGCTAAACCCTCATTCAGGAGGAGCTGTGCCATCTGCAGGGGCAGTTGTCTCCCCACCAGGTGGAGATCGTAACTTGGAGAGCTGTTAGGAAACAGCTCTGGTACTGGAGATCAGGGCTGGGACAGCAGCCAGAACTGCTGCATCCCAGCCACATGGAGAGCAGGTTGTGACCTGTTCTGCACATGGCTGGGATACAACAGTCCTGGCAGCCAAGACAGCTCTCCCAGACACATGCACATCAGGACCTGTCCCCATGGGCATGGGAGACAGCTGCCCCTGCAGCCAGCACAGCTTTCCTGGACTGGTGCACATCAGGACTGGCCCCCATGCTTCCTGCCAGCCCTTGAGCTGGCACCTGGGGGATCCTGGAGTTCCACCTAGCAGGTGCAGGTGAACAGAACAGAGCAGGAGTAGCTTCCATTGGGCACAAACCTGTACCTGACAGGGCTCACTTTGTAGACGTGTTCCTGGACATAGTTTACTGCATCTTATTTTACTGTGCAGTAGCCTTCCTGAGCATTAATTGCACATGTAGACACACCCCATGTATCTTAAGATCGCAGTGTGGAACAACCAGCTTTGTTAAACATTATGCCTTTCACATGGCAGCCAGATTCAATGCCAAACTGGGTAATGCTTCAAACAAATAGTAAGTCACCCTTGAAATTGTTTGTTCCTAATGCCTGGATAGGGTGCTGTCTACAGTTTCCTATAGTACAAGTTTTTAATTGAGGCTTACTCATGAGTAACTGATTCATTGAGATGTGGGATCCATATTGACCATATCTGCCCTCCATCAACACTTTTCATAGTCCTCACCAAAATGGGATCTGAATTGGAGGGGAACCACGCATGAGTTTGACACCCCTATAATAGGGTAACAATTTGCAAGGAATATGGTAAATTCCAGTATACAAACTCACCCTTTATATTACATGTCAACACTGCTGTTGAGACTCCCATCTCAAATGAGGCATACACCTCGTATGTATTTGAAGTACACTCCATGCTAAATCATCCTGAACCTGGTTACTACAGTGTAAATAGCCATCCTGTAACACTGCAAGCCTGGATTTAGCATTATCTTTAATAGGCGACATGTTGGTCAGGTTGTCTTTCTTTTCACTGGAGTAGATCAGGCACTAGGAACCTTTTCAAGCCATAGGCTAAAGTAACCTTGCTTTGGTCCAAGCGTGGGCGGGTGGCTTTAGCGGGGAGTGAGGAACAGCGACATCCCTGTTTTTGTACCAGAGCCATGCAGCTGGAAACTGTTTCCACACTGTTTCCACTTCTCCCAGCTACCAGCTGCCTGGCTGCAGTCTGAGCACAGCTTCCAACTGGAGGGGCGTTGCTCTGGACCTGGGGAGCTGGAGGCTGTTTCCAGGCTGATGCCACTTCTTCCTGTACCTACTTCCTGCATACATCCAGCCCAATGTGACTTCCCTCCAGCTGGAGTGGTAGGGTGAGCAGAGCAGCAGTACAGGCACATGTTCCAGCTCCCCAACCCCAGCATATCTCTGTGCTGCTGCCCCAGTAGATAACCAGTCTAAAACTGTGTCTTAAACCCAAGAAGGAACAGATAAGAGACAGGGAATGTGTCTAATTTGATTGCTCTGATTCAGAATTCCCAGTTTTGGAAAATGCTGGACCTGTTGGACAGGAACTGAGTGAGGCTACTTGTAGGAAATGCTGTGCCAAACAGTCTAAACTCTAAACAAGTGATCTTTACAAAATAGCAGTATACTAGATGAAATGAATCTCTTGTGCTCACTCAGTTAAATAATGCTGGTAAATAAAACTTCTCCTTAGAATACTTCCTATATGTACTTCCCTTCTGAAGCAAGGAAATTTTTTGCAGTTCTGTGCAGCTGAATGTTAGACTGGCTCAGCATATCATGGCTTGGACTTTTACATTTCTTCAGTTTTCCCTTATTAATGTAGCATACAGGGATGAAACAAAGACAAGAGATTATATTTTATCAGTTAATGGAAAAGATAATTTTCTTCCTTCATAGGTTGAGGAATTAAGAAACGTTCCTGCCAACAGTAAGACAGAAATCAGAGAAGCAACATCTAAGAAAGAAGTTCTTGAAAAGGACAAGGAAAGAGAGGAGGAAAAATTAAAACAGGTTATGGATAGCCTTAAATTGGAAACACAGGGTCTTCAGGAAGAAAAAGAGGTTTGGAATATTTATGTTCCTAGCATTTGATTTAATGTTTTAGAACTAACTTACCTAGACATAAAGGCGACGAGTATTTTGGGGAACTCTGTTAAATAGTTAGTACTGAGTAATTTAAAGTATAGGGCTGATTGGAAATTAGAATTTTCAGTGTGGGAAAGTGGTTTGAGAGAAAGTTCGCAACACGGGGAAGTTTGATATGTTCTGGAGTTTTAGATGTTCAGGCTTCTAGATGAAAACAATTCATTTTCAGAG